ATGCCATTGATGGCAAATAAAGCATAAATATACCTCTTGGCATTCTTTGCTTTCTGTCAGGATCCCTCTGACATCAGCAATTATTTCCCTGGTGCGATGACCTCATGGTTCAAAGTCAGGAAAGGAGTGCATCAGGGATGTATCCTGTCCCCATACCTTTTCAATCTATATGAAGATCAGGTCATTCGGGAACCAGGGCTTTATATGGAGGAATGTGGCATCAGGATTGGAGGTAGACTCATCAACAACTATGTTATGCAGATGACACAACCTTGCTGGCTGAAACTGAAGAAGACATGAAGTGCTTGCTGCAGAAGGTCAAGAACTGTATAGTCTTCAATATGGATTGAAGCTCAACATCAAGAAGACAAAGATTTTCACCAACTGGGCCAATTGGTAGCATCACTGTTGGGGGCTGCTAGTTCAATCTAGCTGAAGCCATTTTGTAATTCTCTAAGGACATGTCTGGACATGTTGCCCCACCCTGGGAGGATAGGTTTTGGTTTACTGGGAATGCCCTGCTAAGTAACCTTACTTCTCCTTTCCACTCCCCTCATTGTACTCCTGTATATAAGCTGTGAGTGCTTTCAATAAAATCGAGACTTGATTGGAATCTCAACTTGTCTCCATGCTTCTGTGTCTCCTGTCCCCCCCCTTCTCATTCTTCCCCTTCTAGGGTCACCGTTGAAGATCCCTGCAGGCTGGGGCACATCACGGCAGATGAGAAGAGATTTAGGTTCTTAACAATTATAGATTTCTTGTTTCCATTTCAACACTCTTAACACCAGCAGCCAGGAAATCAAAAGACAAATTGCGTTGGGAAAATCTGCTGTCAGGGACCTCTTCGGAGTATTGAAAAGCAATGATGTCAGTCTAGAGATTAAGGTGCACCTAATATAGGCCATGGTTTTCGTAATAACTTGTTATGCTTCAGAGAGCTGGACAGTGACACGGGATGGCAGAAGAAGAATGTCTTCAAATTGTGGCACTGGAGGAGAGTCTTGAACATACCATGGACTGTCAAGAAAATAGGTCTGTCTTGGAGATGGTGAAACCAAGTTTCTCCTTGAGGCTAGAATTTTAAAACCCCATTTCACATACTTTGGACATGTGGCCAGGAGAGAGACTGGTTTTTGGAGAAGAATATCATGCTTGGAAGGTCTGAGCGACAGCACAGAACAGGAAGACCTTGGATGAGATGGACTGATACAGTGACTGGGGCAATGAGTGTTGGTGTTTTGGAATTAGTTAGACTGGCTCAGGACAGGGCAGGGTTCAGGACTACTGTACATAGGGTGGCAATGGGTCACATCACACAACAACAACAACAACAACAACAACAATCACCTCTTCTAAATCCAGCTTGAATGCACTGCAACTTGAGGTTTGAATTTGTCCTTCAGTTTGAGAAATGCAGAGCAAGTCTTTTCCTTCTGCTTCTCTGACTTATCTCACTTACTTTGGGCTTACTAGCAGGAGGACCTGGTTCCTAGAGAAGGACATCATGGCTGCAAAAATAGATCATCAGAGAAGGAGAGGAAGAGCCTCAATGAGCTGTTGACATTGTGGCTGTAATAAGGTGCTGGAGCCCGAAGTTATTTGTGGGACAGCACAGGATTGGGCAGGGTTTTGTTCTGCAGTATCCTGTCACTTGGTAATTGGAGCTGAATCCAAGGCCCCTAAAAACAACAGAATGAAATGTATGAAAGAAACAAAGAAGGCTCATAAACCAAAGAAACTTTAAACTTGTTTCTCACAATTGCTACATGTACCTGGATAAGAATGTACACAATTGTGTTCTTTCAGTTAGAAGAGTTTTACATGATACTAGTTATAAACCAATTTCTTATATCTGACCTTATGCTATATATTTTCTATATTATTTTTTAATGACAACAAAGGATAGTGAGAGTAATTAAAGCATAGGTATATAAGGACATTCACATTTTGTTTGTATCCTAAAGGTTTATACTGTGGTAATCAACATAGTACAATAGCACAAGCCTGTGAACTGGAATCAAACAGATATATTGGTCCAAACTCTTGTGTAGTAGATTTTCCCAACGAAATCTTTACATGTAGTTCTGTTAATTGTTTCCAATTATACTTTCATTGCTGCTGTCTCTTCACTGGTGGAGTCAGGAGATATATATCTGTTCTTCACCTATTATTCAAATCTCTACATAACTCACTGCTTACACTTCCCTTCTGGAAAGCCTTCTTTAGACAAAACAGGAATAGCCAGCTCTCTTAATCTGGTGGAAGGTTGTGTGCTATTTGTGTGTAAAATTTATAAAGCTCAGTCAGAAAAAAAGAGAATTGTTTCTTATTAAGTTCTAAATCAGAAGGGAGGCTCGGGTAAATTGTACTTGTGAAACTAAACATGATTTATGGTTAGGTAACAATTTAACATTTTCAGGAAAACTTAGTATCTTAGTTGTTGCAACTAAATGTACCTCAGGAAATGGATGCACTAATTATATTTTTGCAAATTTGTTGCTGGTTTCAATGACATTAAGAATAGTAAGCTGGCTAAGAATAATCTTTTGCTAGGTTAACTATATGTGTTAATTAAAGTTTATTAGATCTGACTTCAACATTTAGAGGCTTGCTCTAAATTTGTAATAGGGCTGTTAAGTGTTACATTTCTAGCAATTTTTGTTTTGTTTTGGTATAAGTAAGCAGAACACTTTTAAATAAAGAAGCATTCAATTGCTCCCCTTTGTAGAAATTCAAAGAAAGTTCATTCAGAAAAGCTGAAACAACTCATGCATATATTTATGTTTTGTTTCACACTGTGAAATATGGAGTCATGTTCTGGAAAACTATTAAAAGATAGTTTATTTCACTGGTAGACTAGTGGCAAGAAGTTGCGCTGCAATCACGATGGCACGTGGTTCCAATCCACCAGCTGCTCCGTGGGAGACGGTTCTGCAATCTCCTTCTGTGCGATGAACTCTCTCTGAAAATCCTCTGGAGGGTCAGCTATGGTGGGTCTCAATTCTGACTCAACGGTACAAAACAACAACATTTACTTATTGCTTAATTACATGTGCAGCTACTGTCTAAAATGTTATTGTTGTTGTTTTGTTGTTGTTGTTATGTGCCGTCGAGTCGTCGAGTCGTTTGAGACTCATAGCGACTCTATGCACAACAGCCCTAAACCCTGCTCTGTCCTGCGCCAACCGCACTGCCTCTGACACACCCATCCCGATTACCCCAGTCACCGAGTCAATCCATCTCATAGGGGGTCTTCCCCTCCTGCGCTGTCCCTCCACCCGCCCAAGCATGATGTCCCTCTCCAAGGACCCGTCCCTCCTGGCAACATGTCCAAAGTAGTTTTCCTAAAGCCAGTAAAATGTTAGAACTAACTGGGAAAGCAGATGGTTGCAAGCTAATCAAGAACCCCTAAGCTCTATTACAGCTCCTTCATATTAGGAGACTAATGGCTTCACTCCAGCAAAGTCTGATCCTCTGGCACAGGCTCCGAAGGTAGCCTGTGGTTCAGATGTAGATTGTTTTGAGAGCACTGGAGCCTCTGAGGGGTCGAGTAATCATATTGAGACAGGGAAAAAGAGGACACCTTAGGAGCTAAAATAGATAGAATATTGTGCTGAAACCTGGCAAAATCCTTAACATCCCAGTCTACCACACAGTGTTTTTAATTTATACCTTGGGATGCTCTGTGAGTTAAGGCAAAAAGAATTAGAATACAAACGGATAGTATACTTCTAACAGTCTGCATAAAAAGAAAACTTCTGCTGGTTTTCGTTCTTTATTCCTTCCAAAGGAAGGAATAGGGAACAGGAGCAATCTTTTCTTCTTTTCTCTCTCTTTTCCAATGAAAGAAAAATGGGTGGCGAATCCTAATTTTAGGAATCTTTGTAAATATTCTGGAAACCTTTGGATCATGTTGAATCCTTGGAGAAGAGCATGAAGTTTTGCGTACGTCCTGGGCAGTGCCTGGCGTTCTGTGACAGAACTGTCATAATTAATAAGTAGTCATGATCAACATCTCATTTGCAGGCTGACCAGAAAGGTCCTCTGGCTTCCTTTTAGTAAACTACTTAGCAGGGGTCCCGACCATCTCTTATTTCCCCTGTTGCTTTTGGTTACTGCGGCGAAGGGCCACACACAAGGCAGACACAACAGTTTTTTAATACTTAGCCTTCATTTATTCAGGTCTGTTTCCAAGTTCTCTGTTTGTAGCTAAAGTAGTCCGTTAAGAAAACTGAGAGAGGCAATCTTGAGTTAGAGGAACCAAGAGAGGCTTTTGTTTTCCTGTGATTTCTGGAGTGGAAGTTGGGACGTGTGGGATGAATTTTGGTACCTTAAGGATTAGGTAAAAAAAAAAAACAAACAAACATCCGTGTGGGAAGCCAGGTGGTGCTTAGGTTGGAAGGCCAAGTAAGACGACACCAGCGTGGGGAGAAGCGAGAGTGCAGGGCTAATGAAGGACGGGGACCCTGCGGGGCCTCCGACCCCGACCTCAGCCCAGCGGAGGGACGTTATCTGGAGAGAAACCCTGAGAATCCCGAGCCAGGCGGTCGCTAGGTGACACCCGGGCGGCAGGCGCGCGGGGTCGGGCGCGCGAGCGACTGTCCCTTTAAGGGGCCGGTCTCCGGGCATCGCCGGCCCAGACGCCGGGACGTGCCGGGGGCCGCCCCGCCCCGA